TCAGTGCCCAGCAGTATTGAACCATGCTCTTGCTGTCATCCCTCCGGGGAAATCCCAGGCTCAGCTTGACGAGGGGACTAAAACCAGCAACCCCACTGGAAAGAAAAGAGTGGAAATGAATGGGAGGGACTGGAGAGGAGGAATGGGCTTCATGCAGCGAACACACGAGAACGCACACAGATATAAAGATGCAACCGCGCACCGACACACACACACAGAACTGACCCTGAGAGCCTCAGGATGCAGCACGCCGCCAGCCCCAGCTCGCTGCAGAGCTCCTCCGTCCCCTGCCCACGTTCTCCTGCTCCGCTGCTTCGCTCCCATTGCCCCCACAGCCCATGTGCAGGGAGGGTGCAGCCCTGGCTTTTTTTTTTTTTTTTCCCCACTAGGTTCTTGCTTCTCCCTGCTCTCCTGGGCACCACGGTGAGCTGGGCTGGCCCAAGAGGCCGGCTCATCTTCGCTCCATCCTAAGCCAGAACCAGCTGTCCCGTGTCCCTGCCCAACCCCTGCTCCATGCTCCGACACCCAGAGGTGCTCTGGGAGCATCTGTCGGCTTTTCCTTCCTCCAAACCCCCTGAAAAACCCCACGAGCCTGCGGGAGAACCACCACACCCACTTTTAAGCTCCGTCTCTGCTCTAAACACATCCCCTCCCGAGGCGGCACAAAGCTCCCCCCCATCCAATCCTGCAGCCCCCCCAGAGCAGCTGGCAGACGGGTGCGAAGCCCCCCGCGGAGCTGCCCCTCCAGCCACCGCCGCCAGCTTTGTAACCCCCCCTTTTCCCTTCCCCGGGTTCTGCCCAGCGCCTGCCCAGCCCCGACCTTGTTGTGTCGACTCCCTGATGCCAAAGTCGCTTCTCCCCAACGGGACCCTTTTGTCTGGGGTTGGTGCTGGGTTTTGGGTTTGGTGTTGGTTTGATCTGTGTGTTTTTTGGGTGAAGACTGGCTCAGAGGCAAGAGAACAACAAACAAGTCACCACTAGAAGATCTCGGACAATTAAACGAGGAGAAAACACCCCCACGACCAGACAAAAGCAAGACGAACACGTGCACGGGAGAAGACGGAGCAATGGCAGACTACGGACAACGGCACCGAGAGCGACGGTAGCGACCCACTGGGACAGAGGAACAAGAGACCACGGAGTCAGACATCATCGGCACGGCTCACACCTCGAGCAGAGTCCGCCGAGGGAATGGGACAGGGACAAGAGTGACAAGCAGAGAGAGCAGTGCTGCTCGGGGCGATACAACGCTGGCCGCGGGGTTTGGCTCAACCGCAGCTGCCTCTTCCACCTTGTCAAAGCTGAACTGATCCTGGGTGTAGGAAACAATGAAAAAAAAAAAAAAAAACCAAAAAAAACAAGACAGGGAAGGGAGTCACGGTGTCCTGTTCCCTCCACAGACATTGCAACACGAGGAGGCCGTCGGCAGAGCCAAGGAATCCAGAGAAGGACACAGCGGTTTCTGATAACATTCATCATCCCTTTTTTCTGGATGTTTTGGGGGTTTTTTTCCCATTTAAGCACAAGCCCACTCAGTACAAAATAAGGAATGAAGGAGAAATGACTGGGGTTCAGGGCTACCACCGTAAATTCTTGGGGCTGGCATCTCCCTCCCTCCTTCTTCCCAATAAAAACCTCTCTCCCCACTGCAGCCAGCAGGTCTACCTCAGACTGCAGCCCAGCATTTGCAAAAGCGACGCAGTCTGGGCACATTCCTTTATCAAGCAACACTCCTGTGGGCAGCTCTGACGGGACGTGAAGGAGGTCCTGGATGTGGAGGTTGGTCTCAGACACTTGACAGCCACCCTCAAACCCCACCTGAGCCGCGACCAGGGGAAGCAAATGTAAAACCACGCGAGATCATCCTCATGCTTTGATTCACCCCATTACCAGGACATTGGACATGATGAGTTTGGCTTCAGGCCCACGTCTCCGTGCTCCTCAAGCCAAGCCCAGCCTGCAAACCACCCAAGTGCCATCGCAGCAGGGCAAAGAGGGGTGGCCATTCGTGTGCGACCACCAGCAGGACCCGCTCACGGCATCGTCACCATTTCTAGGGTGGCACCAACCCAGACTCAGCATCTCCTTCCCGCCCAGACCAGGGGTGGGGGTATTTTTGCAGCAGGGGGCTGTGATCAGGGTGCAAATCCCATCTCACGCCGTTCAACCCAACACACTTCTCCCCGCACCCCAGGAGTGACTCCTCTCCAGCCCTAGTGAGGAATACCAGCACTGACCTCAGCAAGGTTCCCCCGATGGAAACGTGGGGTGCACCAGACGCCTGCCCCGGCAGATGGACTGACACCCTACGGGGCTGCTCCCCTGCTGCTGCCATGTCTTGGATTGCTTAAGGCAGGTTTCAGTGTGTAGCAACGCAAAGAATAAACCAGGTGTGTATTTCCCAGGACTTCCTCCCCCCAGAGCATCTCCCAAAACCATGAACCAAAGGGACTCTGTGCCTTCACACCCCCCCGCCCCAGCAGCCGTCCCCATCCAAACCTGGGACCAGCCAAGCCATTCTACAACGGGAGGAACAGAACGGAGTAAAAACAAGCCAAAGGACCAAAGAAACGGGGGACTTGAGCTCTTGGATGAGAAATTCTGCATCTTCTTCGCATCGTCCCACCTTCATACCCTTGGCCAACACTCCCCATAGGGCAGCTGGATGTGCAGGACAGCCGTGAATGCCAGGAAAAGGGGGGTTGAAAGTATAATGCAAATCTCTTTTCTCTTTTTGTTTGTTTGTCTGCTTTTTTTTTTTTACATATATACACAAGTCCGACAATAAAACGTGGAACACAGTGCAACGTCTTGGCTGCGTAGCATCCAGGACTGGCTTAGTTGTGCATCGTGGTGTGCCGTGGGGACACACGGGATGGGTACGTAAAATCGTGTCCTCGGCTGACTTCCACGGAGGAGCAAACCATGTTCCCCTGGAAGAAGAAGAGCAAAGTCCTTTTTTTAAAACCTCTCTGCAGTCTCTGGAGGGGCAGGCGTTCCTCAGAGGTGCCGCGGGCTGGGGTGCCCGTTGTGGTACAGCTTCTGTTTGATGTGCACCATGTTGCCGGTCGCCTCCTCGTACTGCCGGTGGTGACGTTTTCTGAACTCCTTTAAGTTACAAAATTTGGGAATCCAAGACCAGGAATTGTCTGAAAGGCAGAAAGGAGAAGGAAGATGAGATACGCCAGGGATGGTGACACCCACCTTCTCCTGCCTTGCCCAGCCCTGGGCCACCCTTCAGCCTTGTTCCCCACCGGATGCTTCACGCCGTGGCTGCAGCCGCAGCTCCGGCTCCTCTCCCAGCCTGTGCCCCCAACACAACCACCGGCTCTGGGATCCAGCCGCCGGGGAAACAGCAGCATCCCTGCTCAATCCTGGCTTTTTCCTTCTCAAGCATTAGCCGGTCTCACCCAACACAAGCCCCTTTCTGCCCCGTGGCCGGTGCAGGCTGGACTGGTTCATTTTTCAATCCAGTTTTTCAGCTCTCAGCCCGTGAACCTTTCCCCGTAGCGATGTTTCAGCTGCCGTTCGGTTCCATGAGAGCTTTGGGTCATTCCACCCAGAAACACACATCGGCCAAACCCCACAAAGGAGAACTGGAAAGTCCCGGAGAGCAATGGATGGTGTAAAGCTGAACCACTGTCCCTGCCCTGAGGGTCCGTGGCTGCTCTGCCCAGCTCCTGTGAAGCACAGCCTGATGGCTGAGTGTCTACAGAATATTTTCTATTTTAAGAAATCTCTTCCGTCAGGAAGGAGCTATAGGTTATTCTAACAGATCAAAATTCAAGCCGATCAGGACACAACGTGACACTGAGTCACTGCTAAATGGCACTCGGGCATTTCAGGGAGGGCTCTCCATCCCATGCCGGCGCAGGGCTTTGTGTTACCCCCACCCCTGTCTCTCCCCATAGTCACAGGCACCGATTCTCTCTGCAGAAGGGAATTTTAGCTTAGGTTCTCTTTCAACAAAGAAATAGCTGGGTGCAAAAAATTCATTTTCTGCAAAGACATATCTGCCCCGTGTATTGCACCATTGGCCAACCCCTTCTCAAAGCCTTAGAATATGCACACACCAGGAGGAATTAAAAAGATAATTCAGCTTAAATACTAAATTAATTACTAGCATAACCCTTAATTGCTAAAAATAAAAATTGGTGCAAAAACCTACTCATAAGGTCAGTTAAATGGTGAAGCCACTCCATACCGAGCGGCAGCGGCTCTGGGGCACAATATTTCCCAGCAAGGACGTCTGTCGCCAGCCCCGCTGCCGTCACAGCGCTGGTGGGATCACAGCCAGGGGTGGGCTGAGCACAACCAGGTGTCACAGCCCCGAGACTGGCTTGGGACCTGGGATCCCACTGGAAACCCTGACAATGAGCCTCCTG